AATTTCACAATCATAAGTTTTGAAAAACTCTTACAAGTGTGAAAGTGTATTTTGTTAATTAAGTTTGAAACTGTATTGTTGTTAACTTGGATTATGTTAATTAAGTTTCTAATTGTTTTGTTGGTAACTCGATTATGTTAATTAAGTTTCAAAATGTATTTTTGTTTTGTTGTATTACTCAAATTCTAGTATTGGTGTATTTGTGCTTTTGCTATGAATCTGCTACTGCTGTTATTCTCCTATATTTGTCTATGTATTGTATTGTTATCTGTTTTGATATTACATGGTAGTTGTAGGTGGGTAATGGATGTGAATTTGGAAGCGGATGTTGAAAGAATAAATTCCTTGGGAGGTGGGTGTGATGAGATGGGTAATTTGATGTTAATTGGTGTAGATTATAGTCAACAGGAAGGTTGTGAAGTTTTGAATACAGATAAATTAAGTTCATTGGGAGGTGGGTGTGATGAGGGGGTAAGTTGATGGAAATTGGTGTAGATGACAGTGAACAGGAAGGTTGTGAAGTTTTGGATATAGAGAACTTAAGTTCATTGGGAGGTGGGTGTGATGAGGTGGGTAAGTTGATGGAAATTGGTGTAGATGATAGTGAACTGGAAGGGTGTCAAGTTTTCAATACAGAGTCCTTGGAAAATATCACCCTTACACAGACCATTCAAAATAATTCACCCTTCTCTTCTAAAAATGGTAAAGCTAATAGTCCATTGCAACACTACTCCCCGATCCAAACAATCAAACTGATTAGGGGATTTTTCCTCGCCACGTGGACCACTCAAATCTTGCCACATGTCATCCACGTGGACCAATCAGATTCCGCCACGTGTCACCTCGTGAGTGGTCCAATGTGGACCATTCAGGCCTCGACACGTGGCAAACAGATAGCCAACCAGGAAAGCTTGCCTCTTACGGCCCAAAGTTCCAAGCAAAGCCCAATCAGCCCTAGGTTTACCGAAACCTAGTATTGGGCACGTTTTCCAACACTCTATAAAAGGGGGATGTTCCCCTCTGAGGAACATCCATTCAGAAATATTCAATACACATTTTAACTCACAATCAGAGAAAGTCAGACACCTGACACCTCGAACTGAGCAATTACACATTGCAGATTCTCTCTTAGAAACTGAGAGAGACCCTTTACTTTCCGCACTTTACTCCTCATACATGTTCTAACTTGATCATCGGAGGCGGAGCTCCCACCCACTGGAGTCTCCGTTGTTTTGCAGGTACAGGCGTCCAGAAGTCAGTCTTGGAATTGTAACTCTCCCGAAGGATATCAAAAAACCCCGAAACACAAACATTGAGACTACTGTGTCAACAAATAGGGTTAATGTGATTACCACTGTTGAACTTCCAAAAGTTGGTATGGTTTTTAAAAGATGGGAGGACATTGAGCTATACTACAAAACGTATGCAGAGTGATATGTGTCGTTTACCGTATAAAATTAAATATTTATTTTCCTAACTTAACCTTCAAAAATATTAACAACTAGTAAAAGGGTAAGTAAGGGTCGATCCCACGAGGAGACTTTTAACTCTTTAATCAAGGTTTAACTAAATTACAATATTACGGAAATTTACATAGTATACATTTATTCACATATGTACATAAAATGGGGGTTTGTTTTAGATAGAACTAAACTAATAAAACTAATACTATTGACGACACAACTAACCAATTCCACTTCGGCTCTACTCAGACTAAACTATTGATAACAATAATTGACCGACTCATGCAAAATTACTCAATTTAACGATTAGACTAATCGTAGAGACTATAGTAACAAAGACTCCCTATCTCCCTTACTTGAAACCAAATTTGGACTAAGCCAAAATTGACTCTAAACCGATCTAATTAACACAAATAATTCGCAACTTGCATGAGTTAGATACGGAAGCATTAACAACTAGGAGACCTCATTAGTTCTAATTAAACTAATCACATAAATGCTTAGAATAATTAGATTGAAATTGCCCTCTGATTTAAACAAACCATAATCGCAGACTTGATAAAAATTAGATACTACTTCACTATATAGTTCAAACTAAGCCAAAACATATAGATAGAAATAATTCACAACTGATAACATGAAAGATAACAATCAATCTCAATTGCAAATTTAATAATCAAGAACGAGCAAATTTCAAATACCCATTAAATCGAAAAATAATACTATCAAGAATCAACTATAATATCAATAATCCAATAAAAGTACTTCATCAATTTAGCAAAGAACATCTAATAAATCAGTAGTATGGAACAAATAAGTTCAGAAGAAGACTTATAAAATATACTCTGAAGAACACCCGAATAAACCCGACTTCGACCCCGCGATTCACCTTCGTTCTTGTTCTACCTTGGATTAGAGACTAAGTTGCCCTCCAGTGGCTATCTTTTCTTCACCAATTGCCCAATTACGGACTCACTCGAACTCTCGTACCCTTTGTATAATTATTGGCTAAGTTGTGTGTCCTTTGAGATGATTGTTTTGGGGTTTTTATAGCCAAAAACAACGGCCTCCCATGATTTTCTGGGCTGGAAGGATAAAATTTAAGATGGAAATTCATCTTCTATTTGCTTGAATTTCGGATGATATTGTTGAAGATGAACCTTAATAAGATTTTGGGATATCTTTGGTTTTCACGCTCCTTTCTTTTCTTTATTTGTTGCTGCTTTCTTATCTTTGCTTTCTTATTGTTTAATGTTGCTAAGTCACGTGCCTTTTTCTTCTTCCTTTTTTTTTATTTGCTAGTCTGCTTTGCTATTGGGCTCGTAGTGCTTGCGAATATTTTTCTTCCTACCAAAAATACACAACATAAAATTAAGTATCAATTATTATAAAAATAACTATAAAATAAAATAATGAATAAAATAAAATCTAAAATAATAAAAGTAAATAAAATCATAAAATAACCAATATAAAGCGGCCATTGGACTAATATTAGGGACTAAAAATATAGTATATTATGCATTTATCACAGAGCAGTATGGATTAAGGGTTAGCAGGATGCAAGGTGCCTATACAATACAAAACAGAGAAGGGGGATCACATGGAGGTGCGAATGTTGGGGTCCGTAAGATATGAAGGCTAAGCGGGAGGCAAAGAAAAGGGCCAAGTTAATGGATGTTGGTGGCTGTGTAGGAAATGTGAATGGTGTCACTGGTGAGGATGAGCTTGCACGTGGTAAAAGGAAATCCAAAAATGTTTCTGCAAAGCTAGGATTTATGGGAGCTAGTGTTACAAGTGATGGCCTATGGGTTTTGAAAACTATAGAATTGGAACATACTCATACTCTTACACCAAGCATGGCTAATTTGGTGAAAGAGTATCGTATGAAGAAGATGACCTCAACTGTTTGAAAGAGGTTACTTAATTATCGTGAGGAGGGTGTTCTCGTGTCGCAAATTTGTGGTTGTCTAGACACGGAGAATGATAATTTGCCGAATGTGAAGGATATGCAGCACGAGGTTTACAAGCAAAGGCGCCTAAAGATGGTTGGGGAAGATGCACAAGCAATGATGGATTACTTTGACTATATGCAGGCCGACAATCAAAAGTTTTACCAAGTCCATAGGTTGAATGAGGAAGGTCGTCTAAAGGATGTGTTGTGGGTCGATGTAAGAAGTCGAGTTGCGTATGAGGAATTTGGAGACGTAGTGTGTTTTGATGCCACATATCTCACAAATGAGTACGAGCTACCGTTTGCTAATTTTGTGGGAGTGAATCACCATGGCCAGTCCATTTTATTAGGTTGTGCTCTCGTTTCCCATGAAGACTGTAACACTTTTCGTTGGATATTCCAACAATGGTTATCTTGCATGGGCAACAAAGCTCCTGTTGCTATTCTCACTGACTAAGCAGCCGCAATGAGGAAGCCTTTAGCTGAAATTATGCCTAATAAACGCCACCGATGGTGCATATGGCATATCTTAAGGAAATTTCCTGACAGACTTGGAAAATGTGCTATGTAAGTAGTCTCCCGTACCTTTCATTTTCTATTATTTAACCATACCATAAACACTTCCCTGCTCAAGATTTTCCTCTTAGTATTAAATACTACATTCTTAGCCTATTGAAAAAACCATATCCCAAAATTACAACTACATAATCTTACACATTTCACGTTATCAATGAAACTTGAACTACATTTTATAACAATAACTCTCACCATCTTTTTCAATACACAACCTTCATCCAACGAAGGAATTTTACTTTGTTACCCTATTAGCTGCAAACTAAACTGCATATGGACAATTTTCAAATACATAGGCAAGATACATATGGTCCATTTGATGTACAAGACCAAGTTCGGGTAGGAATCCAATTACAATATAAACTTCAGCAACAAACAAACATAATCTCACACATTAATAGTACATTTCAATATGGCAAAGGAACAATGCATTGATTCAATGCAGTAACAACACCATTAATTAAATTTTACAGCATTGTTAAACTCATTTCAAGCAATTACAGCATAAATCAATAAGACTAATTAATCAAACAAGTTCGATTAATCAAACATTTTTACTAAGGGTATCATTCAACCTAACAATCAAACAAGTCCAAAATCGAAAAATTACGATAGTGTTAAGAATATCCTTACAAGATGTGATTAAATCGCGACGATTCAAGTCATATAGCTCCACCGACAACTGCCTCGCAATCCCTCCACAAGTCAGGTAGCTGGCAAACCTCTGTCGATTAAATAGTCCCACACCCTCCACCAGCCTAGCCCTCCACACGTCAGGTAGCAAGCAAACCTCCACCGGTGTAAACCCCCCTCGCACATCGTCACCAAACTTCGACAAACTGAGCGATCACCGAGAAATCACCAAAGACACTCAAGAACAAACAGCTTACTCCCTATGACTTTCACCACCATTAATTTTTAGGCATTTTCTCTCACTCCTAGGGTTTCATTAATGGAACGTTTGCGAGACCGCTAGTCAAACATATAACGGACGTTAACTATTCTCTAAGAATTTCGCATTCCAAAAGTAACCTTCCAACTAACTTGTTAAATGACAAATATGACCCATGAAAACTAATTTCATTTCTCATGGAGATGAACATGAATTCGCCCATTTATTGTGACTCATTCTTTAAACAAACCAAAAAAAAAAAAAAAGTAACACGAAATCGAGCCCAACCTATTTACCCGAATTTACGGCTCTACCTTCCTCGTGCATCTACTTGTATATTGTCGTGCCTCGTGCATCTGGGTGCACCGTCCCTTAAACTTTTTAATCCTCCCACCTCTCCTGTTTTACCACGCCAAAAAAGACGGTGTAGAAGCAAAGCCGTTAAAAGGATGTATCATCCTACCAGAGGCGGCGTTCGCGGTGGCCGAGATCGTAAGTTCTTCATCTCTTTTTCCCTCATCTCAATTAATGGCGATTTTTGTTCATTTCATACTTAACGATCTTTTAAATCATGAATTTTGTTCTTGTTATGATTCTTGTAATTATTTCGTGAGTAGGTCGATTAGCTTTTTTCTTGAGGAATTTCAGTCGTCTTTGATTTTTTTTAGTAATCCTCTTTTATGGGTTTCTATTTACAGTAGCTTTGTGAAATATTTTGATTGTTGGTGTTTTTGTTGTTCAATTTTATGTTTTTGACCTTTTTTTTCAACTTTGGATTTGCTGGGTTACTTTCTAAGTAGTCCGATTAATTGAAATTATAAGATTAAGGATTTAACATTTGTAGAATTTGTAATTTATTTTTGTAATTGTTTGAATTATTTTTCCATAGAGTGGTACAAATTTGAGTGGATTATTTTTTCTTTTGAATTAGGAACGACAAAATGATATTTTGATGGAATGAGTTCTCGGTGAGGTTATAGGAGAAATTTGGGAATTATTGGTATCTTCGGGTTTCAAGACGATGGCGGATTTAAGAATTATGAATTGGAATTAATTTTTGAGCTGGGGATGCTGAAGATTGGCGATAGTTTCCATTTGGTGGAGAGGAATGTTAGGGTTTTTCTGAGTTACGTTTGTTGATGGTTCCGTGTATGGATAGAGTAGTTTTTCTGTCACTCTCCGGTTTTATATCTTAGTGTTTGTCTCTCTTTCTAATTTAAGTTTGCGTTGCCACTTGCTTGCAATACGTCATCAGTTTTATTTGACATTAATTTTGATCTGTATATGTATCTCAATTCCTATTCGATCTACTGAAGTCAGTATCGCTTCTTAAAAGACTTTTAATCGGAGATATGGAGGTAAGACCTAGATTCATTTTACAGTGGGGACTGAATAGCTTTCATTGATTGGTGTTGATAGTAGGTCTGATGGCAATATAGCATAATAGGGGTTTGGATGAGGTATGAGTCTAACATCTTCCGTTGAGAGAGATCCTCCTGTGCACGGAGTGTACGTGTAAGTGACAGTGAGACTCTTCAAAAAAATTGGGTTGTTGTCATCAATTGCTTTGTTCTTCACACCCGTGATTTTAGGAATGGCCCAAAGTCACACCACAAGAGGAGGAAAATTGTGTAGTGTCAAGTGTGTCAAAATCACCCCCTCAACCCATTTGGTATGGGGTATTATCATAGGAAAGAGAATTAGCTAGACTAATTCCCTTTGTTGTTGTTTGTAATGCCATTTTAATCATTCCATTTACCTTCTGCATTACCCCAAAATGGTATTTCCATCTCCTTTTATGAACCATCCATACACCACTGCTCCCACAACCACTGCTCAACCACCACCACCTAATCACAGTCGCGTCGCCCGACTAGCATGACCACTGTCACCGCCTCACCACTGCAATCCCACCAGCAACGCTGCCTCTCATTATACTACTCATATCATATAAAAGCACCCAAATCTTACCCTAACCACCCCAAGATCAGCTCCCACCCACCCAAAATCTTCCCTTACCGAACTTCAAATACCTCAATTATTTTTATTTTGAAGAAAATACCTCTACTAATTGATAGCTTTAGTGTGCTATCAATTAATTATAGGAAATGTTGATAGCTTTCCTGTATTATGCAGCTCTAATTAAGTATAAAGTTTATTTGTATGATGGTTTTTGAATATTTTTCTCTCTAATTAAAACTTGTAAATTGTCAATGTCTTTTTAGTATTTACATATTATATTTGTATCTATACTGTTTCTCCCCCATCTTTGAAATTTATTATTGTGGATGTAATCAAGGCAGCTGTATTACAAATTATCATTGGCTGGTTTGGAGTATTGTCCATATTTATTTCCCCTAAATCTTGCCAACGCATAAATTTATAGTGCTTGGAATGTCTGTTGTATGTGGCCAATAATTAGCAAGTAGATTACAGGTATTCAAAAAATGCTTATGATTGGAAATGGGAATAACAAGGGTGGCTGAAATTTGTAAACTATTAGGCTAATAGTTAAAACAGTTTTTGATGTGGGACCCCTATTGTGCAGATCACCTTCTCTGTCATTATTATTAGATGTAGACATTTTGATAAGATCCTTTAAAGATAACTGGAAACTTCAGAAAGCAAATTTTTTCCAGATGGTCATTTACAGTAAGATGGTTTGAATTGGCTTGCAAGATAACCTATGTTTTAATGGTATCACCATCTACAAATGATCACTATGAAAGTGGGACTTTAATAGGGGGCTCAGGATTGGACTTTGGAACTGAGTTAGTTAGAATAGTGCTGACTCTAGCTGTGGTATGTTGCCTAATCTAGACTTTCTTTAGTTGCGACTTCACGATAGAAGTTTGCCTCAAAGATTATTGTCCTGAACTGTCTATGGTTGCAGAGACTCTCTTTTTCTCTTCTGTTTGGTTTCATTTTTGGTTAGTGATAAACATATGATTTTATGCATTCTATTTTGTAATTATGATTTGGTTTCATGAATATTGTGTTTATTTTATTGTTTGACTTGTATTCAACACTATTTTTCACCATTTATAAATTTTTGGTCAGTGATAAACATATGATTTATGCATTCTATTTTTGTAAATTATGATTTGGTTTCATGAATATTGTGTTTATTTTATTGTTTGACTTGTATTTAACACTATTTTTCACCGTTTATGGTATTTTTTATCTTACGAAAACTTATGGCTATTCTTCTTTTTCAGAATTCAAGTGGGATGATGTGAAGGTTGATAAACACAGAGAAAATTACCTTGGTCACAGTCTTAAGGCTCCTGTTGGGAGATGGCAAAAAGGTTTTTTTTTTTTTTTTTTTTTTTTTTTTTTTTTTTTTTTTTTTTCACTTGATGATTATGTAGGTTAAGGCCGTTCACCTGGGTCACCCAGTGGTTGCAGAATATGTTTTTCGCTTTTTTTTTTTTATTATTATTATATTTATAGAATTCATATATAGTGGATTAGGTGCTTGCATTTTTTCAAGGCTTAGTTTGAACTTATTTCAACTGTCTTTATTGTGTTTTCTTCATATTTAAGGGTAACCCTATATTTTTTTTGTTACTCTTTCAGCCTGCAAGCTCAGACCTGTTTATTTGGTGATTTTATGTCAACTTCTGAAACTTTGGTTAACTATGCTGATGCCAGTCACCAAAAATAAGTTTGCACTGAGAAATTCTCAAGGGGATGAAATACTATATTTTGGCTAATGCTATTAGATACTCCCTCCTTTCTATTATAACGGTTACGCTTTCTAAAAATGGGTGTTTCAAATTAATGGTCACACTTTATTCCAATTTATATAGGTTATATGGCCATTTTTAGAATTTATTTTCACTCTACTTTTTCTCACTTTACTGGAATGTTTTAACTAACCTATTTTTTTTATTCATCTTCTCTTACAACACTCTACTCAACCTATACATGATGAAACGGAGGGAGTAAATGAAACATTGTTTTTTCAGATCAAGACTTCAATAAAAAAAAAAAAGATTAATAGTTTTTACAAATCTATGTATTATATGTGTTGTTGCGCTGCTCTGAGATTTTTCAATTGTAATGTTTGCTACTTATAACTCAAATAGGCAAAGATTTGTTTTGGTACACCAAGGACAAGAATTCTCAGGGCGTTGAACAGGATGCCTTAAAGGCAGAGATTCAGAGGATCAAAGAAGAAGAGGAGCAGTCAATGAGAGAAGCTCTAGGCTTAGCTCCAAAACGTTCTGACCAACCAAAAGGAAATCGTCTTGATAAGCATGAATTTTCCGAACTTGTCAAGCGTGGATCAACTGCTGAAGATTTGGAAGGTGGTCATGCTGAAGCAGCAAAGGTTCAAGGACTTGGTTTTGCCAGGTATGAGTTTGGCATTTCAAATTTATTTTGACTAATTTTTTAATATCTTTTGTATGATAATTGATCATGTATCTGCCTTAATACAGTCATGAAGTATTTAAAGTTTACTTTTGATAAGTTCTGCTCGTATTATTGGATATCATTGGAAAGTTTTGACATATTGGTTGTAAACTTGTAACTATATATTCTCTTAACTTGAATCTTCTGTTTGACAAGGATGGAATTCTCCTTTGTTTGTTTGTGTGTGTGTGATTTTGGGTGGTGGTAATTTGAATTCATTAAAATTATTTTCTCATCTTTTATTACAACAAGAAATACATAAAAGTGTTTAACTTGCGAATCAACTTTTTTGGCATTTGGGTCCCACATGAGTGATGCGTATGTTCAAGAAACTTAAACACACACAAGGATAATTCAAGCCTAATTCTCTATAGGATTCGTCCACCAAGAATTAAACAAGAAAAACTAACTAATTAAGTTAAAGGTCACACCACCCCTTAATTAATCAACTTAAACAAAGCTTAAAGAACTTAATCACCATCTTCAAGAAACGAATGTTTTGATTGCAAAACAAACAAATACTTTGATTTATTAATCTGAAAAATTCTGTATCTAAAAGTCATGGAATTACAACTATTTATAGACTAAAAACTAACTAATTCTAAGTCTAATAGGACTTGGACAAGTCCCTAGCCTTTCGCCCCAAGTAACCCAAATAGAATAGGAAAACTAATTCTACTTAGATTAGGAAACTAATTCCAATTCTACTTAGATTAGGAAACTAATTCTACTTAGTCTATAATTCCTAAAATAAATAAAATTAATCCTAAGTGCTTAAACCAAGAAAAACCCTTTCAAGTGAAAGGTTGCAAGCGAAAACTAATTAAAAATCACTAAGTAGAGAAAGTAGAGTGATCCGGAACTTGTGCTTGTACTAGACACCAAGTTCCTTTGCTTGAACCGTCCAAGAACTGCCAATTTGTAGCTTCTAATGAGTTAATGTTCTAGTTTAGGTTTTCCTTGTAAAGATTTAACAAACTCTCGAAGTTATCAATATCCGGATCAATGAGTGTCTTAAATTTTGTTTATTTGTTTTCAGTGAAGGTAACACATCCAATGTTGATGTCATTGAGTGTAATTTTGCTGAAAAAAAAAAAAAAAAAAAAAAAAAAAAAAACCACCTTCCATACCACAGCAGTTCTCATTGCAAAGTGTTTTATCTATTAGTTATTGAATTATCAGTTGCTGTTTTAATAGTTAAGTCATAGGAGTTAGTGGGGTATTTATAAGGTTATTTTTATTGAAAGGTAGATGTGAAAAATAGATAGTGGCCCAAAGGTAAGAAATAATTATTAAGCGGTAGAAAATTATCAAACAAGGAAGTTTTTAGACTATTGTGGTACAGCTGAAAATGGAAAGTGCTCAAAATAGTCTGGTGTGGGATGGAGGGACTAGGGAGTATAAAGAATTGCATGCTTCTCTGATGGCATGATTGCATGAAGACATTTACTAGTGCCATTCAAACTTTGCGGTCTCTTTGTTGGTTGATAGCGGTTACAAGTCAATACATGTCCTTGATTAGTTTGGTGATTGTATACTTTTCCATTAGGCCTAGCGTTTGCTCTCCATCTCATGGTAACCAAGTTATCAATAGTCTCGTTTTCAATGTGATTTTCCAGTAAAATTGGAGATGGCCTACTGGATGTTTGTAGCCCTTGAGCTCTAGATAGCGGAATGCCTATTTTTGTGCTTGAAAGGTCACCAATCCATATTTTCCTTGTCAACTTGAATGACATTGGCTTGGAAATCATTGTATATGTTTGTTTGTTCTAAAAAATTACAAATTGTAGTTTGTAAATTGATGATATCTTCTCATTATTTTTTTGCCAATATTTTGGAATTTAATTCCTTTCTTTTTACTTGTTCTGCTGTAAGTTGACGAGGGTATTTGACAATTTCCTTGTGAAACAGCATTTTAGTCAAGTTGGTTCCTTGTGCATCTGCAGTTTTTAGCCTAGAACTTTGCTTTACCAAGGATGCAGTTTGCTGAGTATAAAATCTACATTTAGTTGCTGGGTTTAGTCAATTGATTTCCTGTGCATTTGCATGTTCAACTCATTATGGGATTATGAGGAAAACAAAGAGTTGTTGCATGGTTGAAGGATGCCGAGTTATATTGACGTCAGGTTTTATGTCACATAAATGGTTCAAGAGAATTGTTGTATGTAGAATGGCGTGAATTTTCTTGGAAGATATTGCAGTCTCTTCTAATTTTTGAACTCATGATTTCCCCAGAGCTTCTCTGCTGTAACTTTACACTTGGTTCTTGGTGCACACAGATTTTATCAACACTGTTAATAGTGTTGCTGTTTGAAGTTTCACATTTAAATTTTATTTTATCATCTTCACATTTATTTTGTTCTTGGCAATCTAGCTATGACTCATTTCAGTTTGAAGTTTCACATTTGAGTTTTACCATCTTAACATTTATCCTGACCTTGATTATACAGAGCTCCTCGTATCATGGAGGCATCAACTACTGTTTTGCCTGGTGCCAAGGATGTTGTTGCTGAGGCAGATAAGGCTCCTCCTGAGGCTTCTGAGAAATTGGATAAACAGGAGTCAGATGAGGAAGTTAGACGGAAGAAGGGAAAGCATGATGAGCGGAAACGTGAGAAGCACGAAGAAAGAAAGCACAGGAAGCGTGAAAAGCATGAAAAACATCATTCTCATGACTCAGATGACAAGAGGAAACGTCGCAAGGAGAAGAAGAGAAGGAATGATTCAGATTCAGAATGATTTCATTACTTCCTTTGTAAAACAAACTCCCCTCACATAGTAATTTTCACGGACCAATTTAACTTCTTTGATTTATACTACCCTTGTGTATGGTATGGTGTTGGCTACCTCGTAAATGTAAGTTCTTTGCTAGTTCGATCCTCAAAATCTTCTTCATAAGAGTACATTTATCTCAAGTCATCACTAACTTAAATCCTTTAAAAAATTTATGTCAAGTGCAACAGGCTAGTTATACTCTATAGAGCAAAACAGTTGAGATTATGGTGGCGGAAATGGAGATGGAGATGCTTAACTATATGTATATCTACGCAAATAAAGATGCTTAATTATATGTGTATCTACGCCAAAAGAGATGTATGATGTGAGTCATGTTATAGGAGAGAAGGTTCATGGAAATTTTATCAATACAAATTTCTGAAAACCATTTTGTGCATGTTGAGATGAAGGGGCAATTTGGGTTATTCGGATAAATTATTAGGTTTACTGTAACTGATTTGGGTGGCAACAATTGGGATATTTAAGCTTTGAATTTGTGTTATCTTGTGCCAAAATGGTCAAGAGTGTCTACTTATTGGATTAAGATTTAAGATTATATTCACTTCACCTTATTTTTGTTGTATAAAATTATTTTTACTGAATTGAAATTATTTTGCTGAATGAAATTATTTTATGAGTTGAATTTATTTTTATTGAAATTAATATGTTTCATGATGTAAAAGTTATAGAAATAATTTCATTTTAATAAAATTAATTTTAGTTTAGTAAAAATAATTTCAGTTCAACAAAATTAAGGTGAAGTGAATAGAATCTTATTGATCGACTTGGACCAAATTTCCTCTAAATTAGGAAACTATAAATTTAAACCCGACTCGCATTTCGTACAAATAGGGTTGGGGAATTTTTGTTTGGGTAACGCAATAACTCTCATTTTGGGCCCATTATTGTCCTAAATGCCCATGCTTTAACATACAAAACTCCACTGGATAAATTTCGCGAAAGTCTTAGGCTTCAACTTATTTAATTTGCTCGTTAAAAAAAATTATTTAATTTGGCATTAAATTATTTTAAAAATAATCAAATTAGATTAGATTACACCATTTCAGATGAGATCAATCTTTATCTTTTAATTTGCTCTTATCTATCATTGAATATCTTTATTTTCGTATTTTTCATATTTGAAAGTGCATATTAATACCAACCTAATTACATATCATTGATAAGTTTGTATCTTGTGAATTAGTGTATAAACTAGGTTAATGTTTGGTTAGATAAAAAAATTAGATCAGATAAAATAATTCAAATCAAATCATGTGAATAGAACATATCCATAAAAAGGCACAAAGAAAAGAGAGAAAGCTTCTAACAAAAGCTTATTCTTTTTTCATATTGCTTGCTTCTCCTTCCTCCATTATTATTCCTCAAAAAAAAAAAAAAATACAAAAAACATTATATAATTTAAGAGATACTTTTACAACTTTTAATCACAGCACTCCAAACTCCCAATCCTTAATTTCTGTTAACATTACTTAAAAAAAAAAAAAAAAAAAAAAAAAAAAAAAAAAAAAAAAAAAAAAAAAAAACTATCAATATCCATTTTAACTTCCTATCCTATTACTTCTACTTACAAAGTCATTAACTTCCACTACCATATTTACAAAAATATTGATACATACAATTAATATAAAAAGCACGGGTAGACTCTAGTACTAAAAAAAAAGCAAAAGGTGAGAAAGGGGAAAACGCCTCTTTCTTCCTCCAACCACCATTGTTTGAGGCAGCTCAACCTCTCTCTTCTAAACCTAACTTCATCAATTTCAACGAGCTGCTTCAATTTATTTTAATTTTAACATCAATTTTCAATTTTTTTTTGAATTGAATTGAATTTTAAAAAAATAAAAATAAAAAAATGGTGTCGGCAAACAAGGAGATGGCTGTGTACTGTTTTGACACACTTGTTGCTCACTACAATAGCGACCAAATTCCTCCTCCTTCTTTCGATGAGGGTGATCAGTATGCCCCTTTTTCTCTTCCTTTTCACTAATCATTATTTTCTTAAAACTAATTATTAATTAATTGATTATGCTTAATTAATTTATATTAATAATAACAATAATGATGATATTTGTTTATTTATTGATTATTATACATTACGTACATGAATTGTTGATACCATTTTTGCATGTCTTTCTTGTTTACTGCTTTTTTTGATTTTGATTTGTATATATTGAATTTTGGGTCTCAATAAATTACTAAAGTTAGTAATTTGGTTAAGGGAAATAATCCCCAAGTGGAATGGTGTGAGTTGAGATTGTTAGATTTTTATTTTTAATAGTTTTTACAGATGAATATTGTAGAAGTAAATTGAGTGGAGCATTACTTATTGTAGGGGTGTTGGTGGTGCAAAAATGCAAATAAGTCAATGATACCCTTGCGAAAGGCAAGAATACATTAGGGGTATACCCTTAAAAACTACCGACCTTTGAGTTAGAGGCCTTGCTAGTGTACGAGCAATATATGATTACCAAAACAACAAGAACTTTATAGGTAAAATACAAATGATTAATCAAGATTAGAGCACAAAGTACAAGTAGGAAACTTTTTAGAGGAACAAAGACCGACGATTGAATTAGACCAAAGGAGGGAAATTTACCTCCATGATTAATCCCAATCGAAAGTTACTAACTGCTTTCGCTAAACTAATGCTAGGCTACTAATCCTAGAATGCTAAGAACTAAGAAAGCGAAAGAAAATTGTAAAAGTAATTGATATGATCCTCAATTCTGCTCCTTTGTTGTGCTTTTATAGAGATTTCTGGCAACGGTTATCTGATCGTGGTTTGGTAGTTCCCCTTGTGATATGTATTTCCTCCTTTGGCGCCTCTATCCTCTTTTGATATATCTCCTTCTTTTCAAATTCATTGAATTTGCTGTCTTGGGCCTCTTTGACTTCTATCTTTATGTAAATGGGCTATCGGGCCTCTACGTTAGCCTATTCTCTTCATCTACTATCCCTCTAAAGTTAGGTCTGGTCAATAGAAATAAGAATTGGGTCTAACAAGGGGTTAAGAATGTGTTAGTAGCTTACTTTTGTATAATTGAAACTATAATTCATGTTCCCATATGCTTGATTTCACCTTGTTCAATAGATTGGTGGTGCTCTCTGCTTTCCATTGTTTTCTCCTTATTAGTTGGCTATTTGATGGCCATGTCATATTATATATGAAATATTATTACTAATTCCGTAGTTGATTTTAAATGCAATAACTAGCAAGTCTATAATGATACACTTTGCATGCCTCAGTATGTTTTCTAGGCCGAAAAAAATAAAAATAATAATAGATCACTTTATACCTTGTATTACCTATAAAGAAGAATTTGTTTTATTTGACCTATCTTGTTTGCACTTGTTTTAGTTGATCGATATTTGCTCAAAATAAACTTATTTGTGTAAGAAATTATGTGGATTTTTTTTTTTTGGTAGAATTATACTTCTAATTTTAGTTATATTGCTTAAACTTATTTGAACTTATTTTGTCCAAAATAATTTAAAAGCCCTATAGGTGTGCTATATTGGTGTGGTAGAAATGCAACAATTTAATTTGTGACAATTAGTTATGGTAATTTAACTCAACAATTTTACAAACACCCCTAATGAAATGTGGCCTATATGCCTATTGTATAATGGAGGAAGTACTTATCAAGTAGACACAAGTACTAGTAGGAATAGCATGTCAATGAGCTTTGAACTAAATGATTGTGGTTCTCTATGCAGCCCTTTGTTTGTAACTTGGAAAAAGGTGGTTAATGGAGGTGAGCCTCGCCTTCGTGGCTGCATAGGAACTCTTGAAGCCCGCGCCATAATCAACGGTTTTAGAGACTATGCTCTTACTAGGTATAGTATGGAATTTATGTGCCTTTGATGGATTTCAACGTGATATTGCTTTAGCAATAGTCTAAGCAAAACATTTGAATTTCTTGGGTCAGAAGTAAGATTTATTTTTCTTTCTTTTCAAAGTCCAACATGTTGTATTTGGTATGCTTATGCACTTCTTTTATTTTTGGGATGTCTATTTACTCCATAGAGCTTTATGAAATCTCTTTAAACATCTTGTTGTTTTGTGAAAAAAAACTAGTGGTTCTAAACTATATTTTCTTGTGATTTTTTAAAATTTTTTTTAGGCAAAATTACAATCATTGACACCAACTAAAGAATATGTTGCAAATATTGACACGAACGTGTATCACGTGTTAAATCGACACCAACTTGTCCAAAAAAGACTAAAATTGACATTAAATATTCAATAATACTCTACATATGACATCTATATAGTATTATCTTTCCAACACATTAAGAACTTTTGGTATACAAGGGTTGAAAGTTACGTAAAATTAGTTCAGATCATTTATGTCAATTTTGTACTTTTTGTAGCAAGTTGGTGTCAATTTAACAACTGATATAAGTTGGTGTCAATAATTGTAAAACTTCACAAAGTTGGTGACCATGATTGTAATTTTGCCTTTTTTTTTATATGTGAAATATAAATTATGTACATATAGTTGCTTTAATTATGAATAACTACATTTGATTAAGAATATTGCTTTTTGACTTTGAAATGGTGTTACAGAATTGTAATCCCTTTGTTTTTTTAAAATTCACTTGCATTTGGCACGGTCTCCAAAACACATGTTTGACTACGCGTTTCTTTTATCACTTTTGCCAGATTTTATCAGTAATTATCTCTAATTAAAAAGTTGATATTTTAAAAGTACACATTAAAATGAATCTAACAAGATCCTACATGACTATGTTTTTATTTTTTTTTTAAATCTAAACCACAAAAGCTAGTCAAAGTAGAGCTTGTGAATAGTATCAAAAGTCAAAACGTATCATCTAATTTGGAATGGAGGAAGTATTTCATCACGTACTAGTGTAAATTATGAAAATTTGATATTTACATACCACACAAAGACACTATTCTAACATGATCCCACTTGATAGTTTTTATTTTGTATATGAGTAGAAATAAACGGTCAAAATGTTTTTAGTTTGATCTCATGAATAGTAAATGAGTAGAACAAAAAAGAACGGAGTGAGTACTTAACGACATAGTTAAAAATTCTCTGCAGAACAGCATTGACTTAACGATATGCCTTATGAGTTAATTTGATGCCTTCGAGACAGAAAGATGCTGGTTAGTAGATACTATATCATTGTGACTGTTTATGCAATCAGAGTTTGATATAGATGGCCACATATATCTTTCCCAGCGATTTTAATTTTCATTTTGATGCCTTTCCCACCTTATCCCTATTCTTGAAAGGAGTGTTAGATGAAGTGTTTTGTAGATCATTATGTTCATTTATAATCCAAATGGATGAATATAACTCTCTTGTGCAAAATAAGAGCAACCTGAGGGGCTGTGGTGTGCTTCAATTACAAAATATTCATGTGTTTTAGTAAATTGAAATTGCCTCACTTGAGCCTTACAAGAAGTTCAGGCTGACATGAGAGGAAGCCATGTGACTAATGTTTCTGTTTGACTGGTGTGCTTCAGCATTTCCTAATGTTTCTGTTTGACTGGTGAATTCTCCTGCAGGGTGAGAGCTACTGTCCACAGAAATACATGCCATGGCCTTGTTTCTTTCCTTATTTGCTATTTCCTTGTAGTGCCTCTTTGTACTGTATGCTGTACCTTAATAGTCTATATCATAGTTTTATACTTAGAGTTATATTATAGAAATTAAGTCATGTATAATATGCCCATTCCTAGTAACGAAACCAGCTTATTGATGGTTTTTGGCCTTAAACCCCACTTTCCTTTTATGAGCTTTGTAAATTGCCTTAATTGTAATTTACTTGAACTGTTTATGACACAAAATGGTCATTGTTGATTCTATGTTGTGTTTCTTCCTTGTTATTTGATTTTGACACTTACTCTTAGATTTGTGAAATTGAGGTGTTCTTTTGATGCTTGCAATTTAGAGTCATATTCTGCACTTCAAGTTTTTTTTCGTTTCCCTGCCAATTTCAATTAAAAACTACCCATTGCAACTTTTGTTACCCCCTCAGTCTCTAATTAAAGCCCCATTTTTAATTTGGGTGGGGTCTATTATCTGCTAACTTTTTTTTTTTTTATTCATTTTTAACCAACAAAACCCCTTTAACTTCACTATTTTATCTTAATTTCCCAAAAAACAATGAACTATGCCCTTACCTTTCTTTTTTGTTTAGCTTTAATCAACAATATCCCACTACAATCCCTCTCCAAAATTGTTTGTCCAACGAAATTGAGGCTTTTATTAAAGGTCGGATGGAGCATTTATGTTGAGAGATTATAACTTGGTTAGTAGACAACGCTTAGTAGGCTAGTACTAAATTAGGAGATTACGACTAAATTAGTTGGTAGTTGGAGAGTAAGTGTAACTTGAAACTTGGAATTTACATGTTAAGATCCTTCATTGAACTTTACATGTTAAGATCCTTCATTGGAGTTGAGTTGATACCTTCAGAAACGAAGAAAAAGGGTCAGAGTTAGGGTGCATTTTATTTACCTGATTTAAACTTATCTAAATTTATATTAATTTATCTTAATTTATCTTATTTAAATGTAAATTAACGTACGTCTAAACTTTTCTTAACATATTAGACCTCATTAAAATTTATTTTAGCTTTAAATCGAATTAATCAACCCATGTTAGAACTTATCTAAACTTATTTTTCCTTAACGTATATGTAGTTTTTTTAGTAAAATAAGTGAAAATAAGTTAAATAATACATGGTCCTTATCTTTTTGGAGAAGTTGATGCGAATAGATACGAGGCACTAGCTTCACAATACCTTTAGAGAGAGATGAAATGAAATGGCAGTAGTTTGGAGATTTCAATTGCCAACACTTCTTATGTAAGGAAATAATACATTTATTTATGAATATTATTATATTTGCCAAAAAGGAATTTGGAACAGTTGAATTGGGGTGTTTACTAATTATACACTTTGTTATCTGTCAATTTTTTCTGCTCACTTCTCTTAGTTTTATACAGTTTATTATGCAGATTTTTTTTTCCCTTTTCTTTTCTCTCCTGCCATTCTACAGTCTAAATTACATGCATGTTATGTCACAGTGCACTTAGAGATCGCCGTTTTCCCCCAATTCAAGCTAAAGAACTACCCCAATTAGAATGTACAGTTTCAATACTGACAGAATATGAAACTGCTGCTGACCACCTTGACTGGGAGGTTTGTATTCTTTCTTCCTCATATTTTTGGTTGTCAGACTTATGGTTTCCTTATAAATGTAATAATGTGCAGTGTTTTATCATTATAATCTGTTTCATGTTCAAATCTTATAGGGCATTTCTTAATTTTTTGTTGTTATAATTGTAAGCTGATGTCAAGAATGACCAATCTGTCTATGTATACAAAGGATTTTTCCATGGTTGAACTTGCTGATTGTTTGTGATGATTGATGTGGAGAGAGTAACTATTAGGCTAACTAGCTTATAGGAACTATAGCCTGAAATTCATCTTTGCAATTGCCAATAAAATTCCAAGTTTCTTTACGGGCTTATTTTTGTTAGAAGTTAGCTTTTGGGAGTAACATAAGGCTGATATTTCTGTTGGGATTAGAAGGGGCCTCTAATTATTAAACCTGTTTAGCTCTATCAATTAATGGTTATTTCAAGTACTACTTTTGCTTCAACTGGCCAACCATATGTGGTCGGAATATAAGACATCCTGAATCAATCCTTCCACCTTTATCTTTCCACATCTTTATAACCTTATGGGTGTATCTCTATGTTAAAATTTTGGTACCCATGAAACCCGGGCTTTTTTATAACCTTTACATTGGATGCGCTTAATCTTGGTAAGTTCCTAACCTCTGATTAGATTTCCTGAGTGATTGCTCCAAGCCATGCGTCAATGAATAATAGTTGTTTTTAGGGGTTAGAAGTTAGGTGTTGAAGAAAGCAGGATCCATTGTAGATATATAATTCAGTTTTCATGCCATGGCAACTCTATTGAAGACCTTCCTCTTCTTAGTAGGTACAAATTGCTTTTTTTCATTCATAATCGGTAACAATGAAGCCCTTTATTTATTTATTTATTTTTGAAGGGGCAGGGGGATGATTTATTTGTATTTTGCATTCTTTTTTGTAAGTATTTATATACAATGGTATTATGATAGTATTGTATGACAAGGAATTACCAAAATTTTCCAATTGATATTATCACTTAACTATGTTTGGTAGTTTTTTTTTTCCCCTTAGGTATTGTATAAAATGATGTTGGGTTTGTGCTGTGTGATGCTTTCTTCTGACAGGTAGGAAAGCATGGTATAATTATTGAATTTACTGATCCTGACTACAATACCCGGCGAAGTGCCACATACTTACCTGAAGTTGCTGCACATGAAGGTCGGTTGTATTGTTTTAAACAAAATAAAGTTTGTAATATTGTTTTTGATCCATAGACATTACTTGCTATGATATTCAACTAGAAATACGACATATACTGGAAGGTGATCTTATCAAAAGTTGCTTGACCTTGTAAGTTTTGAAGTCAAAAGTTTATTATCTGAATGAAGTTGTGGTGGCATCCCATAGACACAACTTTTGCTTAGTTTACTAGATAGTGGCTATAAAAGGTTAGGTGATGTCGCTTCAATGTCCATAGAAGATGGTTATGCAGGATGCCTCTGAAGCTCAAGCTCATAGCCATGGTAATTTGCCATCATGGATGGCTGCTATCTTTTGTTATTTGTCAATCCCATATTAGGCTAATGAAAATTCTCCTTAGGCTGTGGGTTTAATTAGTTCTAGTCAAGTAATCAGTCAATCGCTTTTCTCTCCACAAATCCAAATTACCTTACTGTGTTACTGCACTTCTTTTACCAGGTTCTTGATTTCAAAATATTTTCTGTGTAAGAATTCCAGATAAAATGCCTAAGGGTAAGGCTACACCATGCCTTTTCAGATCCCATAGGCCAGCAAGAGTAGGATTTTTATTTGCTGTTTTGTCCTTTCTTTAGTTTTGTTTCTTGTCCTTCGCATTTTCATGATATTGGTTGTCAATCTGTGATTTTTTTTTTTCTGCCCTGATACAGGTGCTATTAAAAATAGAGGGTTTTTTGGGTCTTGGATGGTTACAACAAATGAATGGTTGCCAGCTTATATGTTTATGCCTTTCATGCTTATAATGTTTCCTTTGCTCTTTGATCACAGCACATTGGTGTGAAATATTCAGCTTCAGTATTTTGATTATGTTAGTTGGCTTTACTGTGTTTTTTTGTTTTTTTTTGCAAGCTCCAGAAAACATGTTTCATGCTTCATATATATATTTTACAAAAATTAAATTAATTGACACTCGATCTTGCTAGTCATGGTAAAGTGGTAGTCCCAGTTGGACAGTATGCAAAGATCCTGACATCAATTTCCTTTTGTGCCTTACACACTTTTTTTGTTCCCCATATATTTAATACCTAACATTCACAATCTCTGAGGTTTAACAGTTCTATTTCTGTTAGATGCTGAGCATCAATACTTGAAATTTTTAATGTTTCAGTGTGGATTTTAGATTGTTGTAGCCTTGTAAGGTCGTGAAACAATATATTTGATTCTGAACGTATTGTTTGAATGTTAATTGACTAATGGTTGTTGGAGAATGACAGATTTTTATTATTATAAATTTATAAGGACTCTAGGCCTGCAGGGAAACAGAGAGGAGGCATAATACTGATATTTTCATTTGATTGTGTCGCTTGCATTCATAATATACATCTGTATATATATAACTAAAGAGTTTATCCTGAAAAAGCGCATTTAAAGGTACATGCTCTTTTATCCTGGAGATTTTGAAACATTTGATGATTTGAATAATGGAAACTTGTGAAAGTATAGTTAGACATGTCAGACTCGTGAAGATTCATATTTTATAAGGTCTCACTAGATTCTTTTATGGTTTTGCCTCAACCTCTGGAATTTGCTGGTATATGTTGCTTTTCTGTGATGGCGTGAAGCCTACTTTGATAGCTTATATTATAGCTTCCCATGTATATGGAGTTAAAAAATGTTACTCCTTATATATCAAGCATGCATAATGAAGTGTTAAGCCTGCAAGGAAGCTATTTTTCTCTGATTTAGTGATAACATATAATGATGCCTTTCAGGTTGGACAAAGCTTGAGGCTATTGACTCCTTGATGCGAAAGGCAGGTTACAATGGTGTAATCACAGACTCAGTGCGGCAGCGCATTCGAATGACTCGCTATCAGAGTACCGCATTTACAATGCACTATGGAGAGTACATTGCATATGTGAAGAATACCCGAGGCGCTGTGCCCACTATTAATGGGCTAAAGCCTGGCACCTATTAACTGTTCCATACTGCTTACTATTTGAATTGTTTCCTCTTAAAGGATTGAATTCATAGGATTTCGGTTGGAATGTGATTTGTTCAACCTACATAAAGCCATTGTTGGTGACTTATTTGGAATTTTTAAATTTTGGGCAGAGAACATTAGAAATTGACCTCCTCATTGAGGTGGCTATGGTGTTCTTCTGCCCCAATATTTTCTACTATTGATTTCCTGAATGAAAAGTTTGACTGGCTGTTAGCCCTTTTTTCATGAAGTTATAACACAAATGATTTGTTACATGTGTTGTCTGACTTGTCTCTAATATGCTCCTCCCAAATTGAATAGCTTTTTCATCTATTTTTTAAATTTTTTTTTTCTTTTTTTTTTTTTTTTTTTTTTTTTTTGCATAATAAATAAGTAAAAGTTTACACAATACAAATAAAAAACATGAAGGCATTTGGTAGTATATGTACTATATACATGGGTGTACAGAGGATTATTATTGTAATTTTGTATGGCGCTTGGGTGGATTTTTCTTTTTTTATTTTTCTTTTATTACATGGCTTGGTGAATATACACATTTTCCAATTTTATTTTTTGAATTCTTTTTCTCTTCTATGTTTTTCTCTCTTTATTCCTCTTTCCTTCTCTTTTTTTCTTCTTCTTTTTCATTTCTTTTTTCAATTTTTGTTTTGAATCAAGCATAATTATTGTAGCTATTGTATATCGGTTACATAGGATTCATGGGTACTTCACTTGATCATCATACCTGTATTATTGGACACGCGATAAACAGTCGTATTTGTATGGATATTGGGTACTTGGATACATTACTTTATACATTTTTATCCATCTTGTCAACAACTTTGCTTTCAATTATTCATTTTAATGAATTTTTTTTATAGAATTTTTCATCTTATTTGAATATATAAATTTAATTCATAAAAAAACAATTCAAAGTTGGAAAAATGGAAATAAAAAATCCCATCTTTCACTGGTCTTCCCTAAAAAATTCAACCTTTCAATTATCCAAAAACAATCGCACATCTACCCTCAATCTTCATCTAACGATCTATTGATGATCGGTTTTCTTAGGTTTTTCCACGTGTCGACTTTTTATAGGTTTAATTTTTTTTTTATAATTAAAAAAACAAAAATAATTTTATTAAAAAAAAAGACTCTATATCAAACCCACTAACCAACGACCACCCCTTCCCCAACCCCAGCACCACCCTTACCCTTGGCCTGAACGACCACCTTCCTTTCCCCATCCCTACCCCTGCCTTCTACGACAACCCAACCCCGTCCCCATCTTCCCCTTCAGATTTTTGACTTGAATCAGAGCAGACATATATTGATGGTAATGAAAGCAGCGGAAAACGGGAGGGCTTATAGGGGAGTAAAGCATCTTAGAGAGGACTTGTAGGGAATTTTTCAAACTCAAATTTGAGTCCCACTGTGATCATACTTTTAGCCATGGTGGCGTCCAAAGGGAGGGGAGCTAGAGATAAAAGAGTCGCCAACAAGTTTTAGGAACTTGTAAACTGTTTACGGGTGTGAAGGTTAGACGTCATTCGCGATCACGGAGATCGCTAACTCCATAGTGGTCCAGAACCATGACTAGATATTCGGGGATGATGGTACGAATCCAACCTAAAAGAGATTGAACCTGCCCTAAATCAGCCTTTACTTAATTCTTATGATATTCATGTGCGCTTTTCGATCAACATACATACGTCAAATTAATCCTAAGCATATTTAATCTACGTTGGTTGATTATTAATGCACAATCAAATCTATTATTGGTGATCACTTCAATTAAAATCATATTAACCTAATCAAATTGTTAATTATCTTATTAGCCGTGATTTCAAGTACAAATTCCCTTTAAACCTGCAAGAAGGGGCGTGATCAAGCAATAACAATCAATCATGAATAATCAAGCAATGTATATAATTGACACAACAATCATCATCATCAAAACATTATTAAAACATAATTAGTAAGATCCTAGGCATGATACTAAACGAATTAATAACAAATCCTAACATGTCACTAAATAAAAATCAAAGCTTTAGTCTAAACATGATACTAGAAAAGCATAAGAACATCCTAACATGATACTAGAAATCATAAAAGCATCCTAACATGATACTAGAAACATGATATTAGAAATATTAGTTAACACCCTAAACATGATACTAGAAATCATAAAGATATCCTAACATGATACTAGGAATTAACACAGTATTCTAAGCATGATTTATGTATCAAAAGAATAATTTAAGCAATCGAATTACTTACTTTGATGCCCCGTATCTCTTTCTATCAAAACAATACACACGTTAGTAAACTTCAAGAAAGATTAAATCAAATAAATAAATCAAACAAGAATTGAAATATAGATTTGGGACCAAACCCTCAGAACTATCAACCTTTCACGTCGAGGTCGAAGGCAACTTCGAGGTTGGCTACGAGTATTCAAGGCTCGTGAAGGAGGTATGGTGTATGATGGGGAAAGTATCGAGGACGTGTGTTGGGATGTGTTTAGGCTAAGGCTAAGAAAAGCATCAAGAGAGAGAGAAGAAAATCTTAGAGAGGGAATTAGATGATGATTGTTGGAGAATGAAAACGAGGTCATACGACCTCTATTTATAAGGAAAAAAAAGAGGGTCGAAAGATCTGAAAAGAGTCAGAATCTGACTCAGAGTAAAACAGATTCCATCGCGGTGCGATAGGCCTATTGCGGCATAACAGCCTTGTCGCGGCGTGATAGTGATGTCCTCAGTGATGGTTTTGGAAAGATAGAATTCGTACAGAATATGATTTCCAATCGGATTGGGTTAATCAAATTTTCGTACGTATTCTAATTTGTCTGGGGTTAGGATCATTGAAAAACAGATGTTTTATCCAATGTAAAATTCTTAAATCTTTATCTTTTCAAAAACAGGATAAATTAGAACCTTCTAGAGGATTTTAGAACCTAATAATAAATCCTAAAGGATTTAGGATCGAAAACAAGCTTCTAGATGATTCTAGAAGCTTGTAATAAATCCTAATTGGTTTAGGAATGGGGTATAGGTTAATGGACCTTCCACATGATCATCGGGTCGCAGATAAGGCTTGATTCGGGCTCGGTTTAATATTTTGGCCATAACTTTTTCGTTATAATTCGGATTTGGGCTTATAAAATATCGTTGAAAAGCTCTTTTCAAGCCCCATCCAACTACACAATTATTGGACCAGGATCATGGCTAAATAATTTGGTTTGAACGTTTTTATAAAAAGGACACGGAATGAATGATTTTTAAAGACACGAAATGAATGATTTTGGTTTAAAACATTTAAGGAAAGGTTAGAAAGGGTCAAGGCTAAAAGGAAATTCACGAGACTCATCAACTCTTCACCTAACTCGATAATCAAAGACGTGAAAGGTACTCATCATCGGGTTTGGTTTTTGGGAAGACACAATCAGGTGTCTATTTGACAATCCAAAAATCAAAAGGAGGGGACTCTACTTTCAAATGTCAAAAGGAAGGGACTGAAACCGGTTGTGCAAGTGACATCCGGTACACTGACCTTCTATTACTTGTTGCCCCAAATTTTTGATTTAAATTAAAAAACCAAAAAAAAAAAGAAATTGAAGTTGTCTGAACTGCAGCAGACCTCGGTTTACGTGATGAATTACAGCCATAGAAGATTGGCGGGAATCTGAAAGGCCATTGTGAGGCTTCTCTTATACGCTTCCCCTTTTTCTATAAAAAGAGGTGTACCTTCCTCTTCTTTATTATATTCACTTCCATTTTCAGAAAGCTCTAACCAAAAAATTAACTTCATTCTCTGCTTTGCTCATGTACTGACCTATTGGTCCCAACTTGGAGGAACAAATAGGAAACAAAGTCGTCAAACTTGGAAGCATAGAAGGTATATTCCCTTTCTCTTCTTTGTTCATGGTACATTAAACTTTGTGGTTGTTGTTCATAAAGATCTTTGAAAAAGTTTTTTTTTTCTTACTGGTTGTTGTTAAACAAGTATTTCTTTTGCTGATTAGTGAAAAAAATGTTACTTTGTATGGATAATATGTTGGATGATGTGAGATATTTGTTTGTTATTGTTGTTTATGTTGAAAATGGTGTTTTATATGATCATATGGTTGATTATTTCAAGAAATTGTATATTGAAGCATGTTTTTTATGTTTGTTTTTTATTCAATAGTACACGTGGAGTTAGGGTTGATTATTTGGTGTTTGTGTGTGTGAGACCTTAGTAACTAGTTTCTTACACTCCTTGTAATTTTGGCCCTAGGTATGGATGCTCTCGCTGCAGCACACCCTTTGTTTAGCCAGCAGGACTTTCTAGTTACCCATGTGTTCCCCAAGGTGGACTAGGAAGGGAGGATAGCTATAGAGAAGAGTTGCAAAAAATGGAGGATGTGGTGGAGGCTTAGGCACCTGGTTTTCACCTACCCCTTCAACAGCCCTAGGGCTGCCATCCAGGAATGGGTGCTGAGGGATGTCTTGTACAAGGATGGGAGGGACCTGTTTAGGGTAAAAATACCCTAAGACACGTGGCCCTATAAAGGCTTGCCACGTGTCAAGCTTGTAGCGGTCAACAAAGGCCCAATCCCTTTGCGACACGTGTCATTGTACCCTATTTGAAGTACAGCTCTCCCCTACTATAAATAGTAAGGGCAGACCTCATTAATGGGGATCGAATCATTTTCCACCAACCAACAAAACACAAATCCCCTTGCAAACGCTCTCAAATCGAGAAACATTTATTGTCTTATTTCCTCATTAAGAAAGAGACTAACTTAATCTTCGGAGGCGGAACACCCCAGCCCCAGCCGGAGTATTCCGTTATTTGTGCAGGTACAGGCCAAGGAAGGAGCATACTAGGAAATTGTAACTCTCCCGTAGGACACATAAAAAACCCCCAAACATTTGACGCCGTCTGTGGGGAGAGTACTTTCTAGATGACTTCAGAACCGGTACTGCCGGGTAAAGGTAGTCAAACTGCTGGTGAGGCTGAGGCCCACTCGGACCAAGATACAGTCGACAATCATGAGATTGAGACTTACACAACTGCCGATGGTTCTTTCAGAACCAAGCATACTCGTTCCAAAGACAAAAGGGAACGGGCAGAGCAGCAGGCAGGCCCAAACCATCCTACCAGGGGACCGCTTGGGTTAACTCTTGCTTCAGAGGAGGCCACCCCAGTCTCCAGGGATGAACTCATGAACATGATGATGATTTTCAAAGGGGAGATCAAAGGCCTTCTGGACAATACTGCCGGCTCC